CTATGTACAAAAGCGCTTTACACAATTGATGTGTGTATGGATTGGGATAACAGTTGTATGAGCCCCTAATAAAATGTTTAAAAAAAAAAAAAAAGAAAAGAAAAGATCAACATGTCAGAAGAGACTATGAAACTTGTTCTTGATTGTAGAGCAAATTGAAGAAATGATGAAGTAAAGGAGCTGATTAGAAAATTTCAAAGGGAAGACTGAGCAGACAAAATAAAGCATGATAATGAAATATACAAAGACCTGGAGGTTAGAAAACCAAAAGTTAAGAACATGTTCATCATATCTCAAGCTGAGGAGCTGAAGAAAATGTTCAAGCCTCAGGTTGCAATATTTAAAAGATTCTATGGGCAAAATAGTAACTGATGTAGAAAGTATCATAGAAGATGGGAAGAATACACAGTCACTGTACTAAAAAGAACTGGTCAACATTCGGCCACTTCAATAAGTAGCATATGATCAGGAATCAATGGTACTGAAGGAAGAAGTCCAAACTGTACTGATAGCATTTGTAGAAAAACCAAAAAACACACCAAGGTTCCAGGAATGGACAGAATACCATGTCAAATGTTTCAACTAAGCTGCAGAAGCACTAGAAACACTTATTCATCTATGCCAAGAAATCTGGAAGACAGCTACCTGTCCAACTTACTGGAAAAGTTCCATATTTGTACCCATTCCAAAGAAAGGGGACCCAACAGAATGTGGACATTACAATACCACATGAAAGTAAAATTTTGCTGAAGATTATCTAACAACAGTTGCAGAAATATATTGACAAGGAACTGCCACATATTCAAGTCAGATTCAGAAGAGGATGTAGATTAAGGGATATCATTCCTGATGTCAGATGGGCCTTAGCTGAAAGCAGAGACTATCAGAAAGATGCTTCCTTGTGTTTTGTTGACTATGCAAAGGCATTCAATTATGTGGATCATAACAAAACTATGGATAATATTGAGAACAGGAATTCCAGAACACTTTATTGTACTGATTTGTCGTGTACATGGATGAAGAAGCAGTCATTGGAAGAAGAGAGGGCAATACTGAGTGGTTTGAAATCAGGAAGGTGTGCATCAGGGTTGTCTCCTTACTACTCAGTCTGAATGCTGAGCAGGTGATCTGAGGAGCCGGGCTGTATGAAGACTGTGGCATCAGGAGTGGAGACAAACTTATTAAAAACCTGAAATACGCAGATGACACAAAACTGCTCGCTGAAATCAAGGTGGATTTGGAGTCCTTGCTGATCAAGATCAAGGACTGCAGCCTTCAGCAGAGATTACAACTCAATTTAAAGAACAAACATCCTCACAGCTGGACCAGTAGCTAAGATCGTGATAAACAGAAAAATTTGCCCAGGGTTTCATCTTGCCTGGGTCCACAATGGATGCTCATGAAATAGTAGTCAAGAAAGCAAATGATGTATTTTCACTGGACAAGTTTATTGCAGAAAAACTCTTTAAAGTGTTTAAGAGCAAATATGTCAATTTGAGGACTAAGTTGTGCCTGACTCAAGTCATGGTATTCTCAGCTACCTCATGTGCATATGAAAGTTGGTCAGTGAATAAGAAAGGAAAATTGAAGAATTGATGCATTTGAATTACAGTTATGAAAAAATATTGAAAGGACTGACAGAAGAACAAACAAATCTGTGTTGGAAGACGTACAGCCAGAATGTTCATTATAAGTGAAGATAGCAAGCCTTGTCACAAGTACGTTAGGCATGTTATCAGGAGGAACCAAAACTAAACTCGCTGCTATCAAGTTGATTCTGGTTCAGAGTGACCCCGTGGGTCTCCAGAGAGGTGCAATTTTACAGAAGTAGATAGCCTAATCTTTTATCTACTGAAAAGCTGGTAGTTTTGAATTGCAAACCTCATGGTTAGTAGGCCAATGTATAACTCACTACACCACTAAAGTTCCTAAGGGCGTCATGCTTGACCAAGTAGAAAGGCAGTAGAACAGAGGAAGACCCTGGACAAGATGAGTTGACCCAGTAGTTACAACAGTGGGCTCGATCATAAACACAACTGTGAAGACGGCGCAGGACTGGGGCAGTGTTTCGTTCTGTTGCACACAGGGTCAGTATGAGTTGGAATTGACTAGCACCTAACATTATTGAATTTACATTCATTGTACTTTACTGCTTTTGTATTGTTAGCCCTTACTTTTTTGAAAAATATAACCTTATTCTATTTCTCTAGTCCATTTTGGAAAAATGATAAGGGAGGGGAATTTTCATATCTTTGATTTATATTTATTGTATGATACTGTTTTCAGGGAGGCAATCTTTTAGGAGCGGCCAATTGAACTTGGAGTTTCTAGTGGAGTTTCTCAGAAAAGCACTAAAAACATACTTAGCTGATGCAATGAGCTGGGCGCTGTGAGTCCTGTCTTCAAAATCTGTCTGAATGATGAGGATTCTACATCTGGCTGTGTTGGTTACACAGTTTCTAAAACAGAAAGAAAATTATTCAAATGAATTCTCTGTCCTAAAAAAGAGTGATGAGATCCCCCCAAATGATGGGACATGTAAAGGCTATACAGAAAATACGCTTCAGCAGGAAATTTTCCTGTAGAAGATGGGTAGACAATCCAGAGGAGAGAGAAAAAGCCTAATAGATGCTTCCCAACCAACTACCAGGACAGTGGCTTTAAGAATGTGTTTCTGACAGGTAAGGAAGTTGCAGAAGATGAGAGAGATGGAGGAACTGGCCAGCCATCCTGTCAGCCCCTGGTCCTGGTGCTCACTAACCAGTGCTGCCGATGGTGCCAGCGACTGCTGTCGCCACACAGTCACTGGTTGCTGTCAAAATGAATCCTTCTCATGCCTATCCAACCCATAGATGTCAGAGTAGAACTGTGGGCCACAGGTGTTCATGGCTGAGTTTTGGGGACATAGATGGGAAGACCTTCTCGGGTACTTCTTGAACATGACTTGAACCTCCAACCTTTTGGTTTACAGCTGAGCACTTAACCATTTATACCACCGAAGAACTCTGGTACACAGTAGTGAAATATAAATTGTCAGGGTGGGAATTAGATTTGAGAGCGAGAGAGAGAGGGATGGGAGTGGGGAGAAGGGGAAGGTGGAAGCTCACCGGACTTCTTTGAGGAAGGAGTACTCCGTGTCAAACTGCTGCAGGGACAGGATGGTGGGCCTCAGAGCCCTGCCTTCCAATTCCAATTCGAAAGCCCCACAGTCATGACTGGTGAGCAGTCTGGAGAAAGTAGTGATCTGCACAGTTGGGAAAGCATTGTACAATCAGTGAATAGAGAGAAAGAATCCAAACCCAAAGAAGTCATCCAAAAAAGGCAGTGCTCAGGTAAGCAGACGTACAGGATCAAATTGTCTAGAGGACAAGACTGTCCCTGTCCTAGATGCCTGAGTCACCTTCCTAGACCCCAGTTTTTCTTCCTGCTGTGAGTCCTCTGGAAATTCTGCTGATCATTCAGGACACAGCCAAATGCCATTTCTTGCAATTTTGCTTCCTGCCTTCTGTAGTTAGTAGCTGGTTCTCCCACCTTCCCACAGCTCTGTCATCCAAAGGGCTCCCAACTCTATCCCTAACCCATATTCTACCTCTGAACTCAGATTCTTGTCCAACTGAAAGAAGGACTTGTCCACTTATAGGTATCAGAACCTCTCCCATCACATACCCAAAACTTGCTGACCACTCTTGGATTCACTATCTGGCTTAACCATAATGAGGATCATCTAAGAAAGAAATCAAATAGTCAAACTCAGGTTCTTCGAGCCTCAAGGTGAAACTGGTTAATTTCTGACGATTTACATCCTATGTCTCAATCCTGCCCCCAACTCTATTGTGGCTGAAGTGCCACAGCAGACTCCCAGCTGCTCTGTCAGTCTTTATTCAAACTTGATCTTTTTATCTCCCAAGAAGTGAAGCACAATACAAAGACAGATCCCTCAGTGACGCCCCTCTAGACAGTACAAAGTGAACTTCTGGTGCAGCTGAGATGGCCCTCCATGATGTCGCTCCCACAATGTCTCCTCTGCGTCTCTCGGCAATCACAGCCTTGAACTCTGAGCCCCTACATGGTGCTCTTCTGGTTTCCTTGCTCAACTGAGGCCCTCCGCCCAAATGCCCGCCCTCCTAGCCATACTTCTCAACTCAGCTTAGCTCAGGGAAAAAAGGCTCATCTGCTCATCTCCGGGAAAAAAGGCTCATCTGCTCTTGTCTCTGGATCGTCTTTGTCCCTGGATATTCAGTCTTTGTCACTGCACAGGGACTTTTCTTATGTCTGCTCGCCTTATACTGCAGGCTACTTAAGGGGAAAAACAACACAAGTGTGTGGAGACACCCTCACTGTGCTCAGCTCAGTACTGACACATGGACTCCATCTGCTGAAGAAAACAGTCTATGTGGGGTTCCAGTCTACAGAGAGCCCTACACAGAAAGATGCGCTTAAACACTGGTTACACTGCACTGAAATATATGCCGTGCATCCCCTCAAACTTAATGTGGGAAAGGTCAAAAGTCTCACCATCCAGTCTCAACTATTACACCCTTCAAAACAATCTGAAATTCTGGATCCGAGGTATTCCTGAAAGCTTCGGTGGAAGAGGAGAAAGAGCAACATGGTACGAAACAAGAAAATCACCTCGGTGAAGATGGCACGGTGCTCCAGATCTACCACGCGCAGTTGGGCCTGAAGGAAATCTGCAAAGGAGTTATGCTGCTGCTTATAATAGTATTCCTGGGAGAGAGATTGGGCTGCAAACGCCCCCAGTGAGCATGTGCTCAGCCGAACCACAGCATCCGGAGTGGCACAACCCAGCAGGATCAATTTGGCTTCCTCCAACACTGTGTGGTAGAGGTCGCCGGGCAAGTCCTCGTGACCTCGCCTTTCTGTGACCTGGAGCACCACGGAGGCGCACGCGTCAGAGTGGTAGCCAATGAAGACTTCAGGGGGGCTGTATTTGTGTCTGACTATGAAAGGATCAGCTTTCACCTGGATGAACTTCTCTACCCATCCCTTGAGTTCTTCTACAGTGGTCCTCTGCTGCTTCTCCAACACGGTGTTGATATCCAGATAGTGCTTCTCCAGTCGGTTGATGAGAGGAATGGGGAACTGTCTGTAGACAACATCTTTCTCCTCAATGACGATCAAGCGGAAGTCTGGGTGCACTCTGCACTTGACACGATGGGTCCCCAGGCCAAGGTCCACGTACTTCTGACCACCCAAGTAAACATAGTACTGGTTGAGGGCATCGTAGAGGCTCTCATAGAGGTTCTGCAGATTCAGCAGGACTACCATCTTGCCAGTCTCCATGCAGATCTTCACGCGGTTGATATTTCTGCAGATCTGGGTATACTCCTGGTCCTTGGGGAAACCGGAACCAAAAATAATCTCTGGCTGCTGCTGGTCCTTACTGAAGAATGTCTGTTGGAGGATCTGCAGGGCCACATAATTTTTGGTGAGCACAAGCAAGTAACGACAATCACCATCTTCCAGCTCTCCTCCTGATCCCTTTGGATGATCCCAGTAAATGTTCTGCCGGATCAGCTGGAGAGTGCTGGCTTCTTCAGAGCACTTTGCCTCGGGTAAATTGGCCATAAAAATAGGCAACGGCTTGATGTCATCTTTGCCACTAAAGTTCCGAAGGATGGCCTGTGCGACGTCCTGGGAGGAAGGCTTTTCGTGGGAAGCCTTGGCCATGGCAAAGACCATTTTGATGAGACTGTAGTAGTCACGGAGCCCAAAGAACTCCTTGTCTTGGCGCTGGCACACCGTGTCATAGGCTTTCGCAAAGGGGGCAAAGTACTCTTGGACTCTGTCTTGGATTAGCGTGTCTGAGTGGCAAATTCCCTTGGCACTCTCGATGAGCTCCTTCTCACTGGGACTGCCACGTGACACAAAAAGGCCCCGGTTCATCTTGGCAGGATCCAGTGCCCAGTTGGAAATGCCTATGAAGCCAACCTTCTTATGGGGTGCAGGATCTTCTTCAATGCAGCCATCTTCCAGCAGTGGGTGCAGGGTCTTCAGGGGCATCTTAGGAGAGTCTTCAGCCAGTCCAACCTCATCTAACACCACCACAGAGACGTACTGATCCAGGTCCTTGCCCTGCTGGAAACGGGCACACTGCTTGAAGGTAGCTATGATTCCCTGGGGAGTGGAGTGAGGGCTGCACTGGAAGGACACCAGGTGGACTTGCTTCAGGTTCCGGAAGAGAACTGAGTAAGATTCTTGGCCCTGCATGGCATCAGCCACAATTGTCTTTGCAAGGGATTTGGAGCTGCCAGGCTTTCCCACCAGGAAGAGAGGAATCTTCAGCTCAGTGCAGATTACCATCATGAAGAAATTCTCCTTCAAAGCCAAGTTCTTGGCGATGGTTTTCCTCAGAGGTACACCATTCAGAAAAAGATCCTGTATTTGAGTCATTTCTTCCAGGATAACCTTGCTGTCATTGTATGGTTCTGGAAGACACCTGCAAATGGCTCTGCGATATAATTCTTTCCTTTCCAAAGAGGCATGGTAACAAACCCCTATGGCCTGCACCAAAGCCCAGAGGACCGGATTTCTCTGAGATTTGGTTTTTGTGACACTTGGTGCACAGAGGAAGGAGTCCAGCTCTGAGAAGAGCATTTCACTGTGGTCATAAAACCATTTGAAAACTTTGACACACCGTTCCACATCCCTAAGGCTGACAAAACTGCACTCATTTCCCCTTGTTCTCATGAAGCCTTGAGAGGCAGAAAGCACTTCTGTGATCAGACGAGTCTCATTGTGGTCTATCTCGATGGAGTCAACCAGTCTCTGGACAATTTGCTGAGTATAGAGCTTTTCAGAAACACCGTTCAGTTGTCCGAAGTCCCACACCAGAGGAATCATGCTTGGCGGGAGAGCATGCACACGGTAAACCAGCTGTCTCAGAGGAATGGAGCCAAGCTTCTCTGTTGTCTCCTCGGCCCTAACTCTGTACCCTAAGCCAGCTGACTCCAAACGGCTGATCATCTCCTGGGAGTGCTTCCGGTAAGGGTTGCAAGCTGCGATGATGTGCAAACCAGAGTCCTTGGCCAGGGGCTCGCCATTCACTGTGTGGTCACACAGAACCTCTTTGATACAGCTGATGGCTTCGGTCGTGTTGGCTTCATCCAAGAACAGGATGGTGTCGAGCTGGTATTCACGCTTATTGAAGACAGCGATGTGCTCTGCCTCCCGGACTTTGGAGTAGATCATGTCTGCAGTGGTCCCTCCATGGACCTTGACCAGCTTCAGAGTTTCAGCATCAACACCCCCACGCCGCAAGTCACTAAGGAATTTAATGAGCCTGGTTTTCCCACAGCCAGTTTCTCCCATGATGACAACGGGGATCCCACACCGGAACCGCATCTCGATGGCAAGGATCTTCAACATGTTGTCTGTGGTAAGCTCGTAGGTGTCATCAGGGTCCGTGGCCCATTGGATCCCTAATGCCATGCATAGCTTTTCCAGTTTCTCATGTCTGGGCAGTCGATCAAAGTCAACATTGAAGGGCACATTCTGATGCAACAGGCCTACGTATAATATATTCTTCATGACATCTTTCTTGATTACCTCCCCATTTAAGTGATTGACAGCATCAAGATGGGTACCATTCTGATTGATCTTTAAATGGAAGCCAATGAATGTCATGGATACGTGGTCACCATTGAAGAAAACATATGGATGTGGCTCTGACTCCCACCTTTTCCGCAGAGTGAAAGGCGCTAGATCTTCTTCCTTGACTCCATCCATGGTAACTGTATGGTTACCAGGGCTTTGGTCCGAGGTGTTCAGGGTTGGTGTGGCAAAATCCCTCGCCATGCAGATCAAGAAGGTCACAACAAAATTCTTGAATCCCCTCAGTGTGTCCCCAGTGAGATCAGGGTTACAGAAGACCGACGCCTCGCAGTCTTTGAGCTGGTAATTCAGGAACCGAGCAAAGTTTCGAAGCTCTGACCAGGAAGGGTTCATCACCCCACAGTAAAACAAGAAGTGCTGGAGGCATTCTTCTGGTGTGTCTTCAGTAAAGCCTTCTTGGTACTGAAACGTGTCCAGGTTGTGGTGTTGATGGAAGCGCTTTATATACTGGTATGGTCTTTGGAAGGTTTCGCTGCAGAACTCACTATGATCCATCCCTGGTGCTCTCTGGCTGGATTCAGGGCCCAACCTCATCTCCATCACCTCTTTCGGGGGCCTGCATGTGACTTTGGGGAAGATGTCAAGAAAACTGAACTGTGGGGCACGGGTACCCTGGACAGGAGACATAGGAAGCAAATCCATGGTTATTACCAAATGACTTCAGTAAAGAAAATGCTTTTGTGTTCTAATGCTCCACAAGGTCTATGTTGGACCAGCTTTTATGAATGAAGGCCCCTGCCTTTCTGGAGATTCCCTTTTCCACTGCTAGTGAAGGCATCTGCAGGAGCCAGACAGGCTTTCTACCCCCGTGAACAGTGACAGCCTCAGACACCCACACGGGGTCACGATAAGTCAGCATTGGCTGGATGGCAGCGGATTAAGGTATTATGGAAGTTGGATTTAAGGAGCACCTGCCTTTATCTTAAAAATCTCTTAGGAAATTATTTTACAAACCCAACTTCCTAAAATTATGTTTCCTCATTAAGTTTATCCAGACTGGGGACCTCTAAAAGTTAACGGGGAAAACTCCCTTAGTTCCAATTTCCCACCCACTTTTTGAACCCGATTATATATATGCATGTGTGTTCCTTTTGTTAAGAAATGCACATGACAAGTCTCCTCTCATTTTCAGCTGGCATTTAGAAAGATGGCCCTTTCTCTGAGGGGATCAATCTACGGCACTCAGAGCACAACTGGGATTTAATCTGGGTAGAGCACAAGTCTTGAATCAAAATAGCAAACATACTCTGTGACTGCTATTAAAGAGTGCTTTTATTTATTCTAGATATAACTGAAAAGTGATCTTCAAGACTGAGTTTTCCTGTTAACATCCACCTTGGCTACTTCACTATAGCTATAGGGCAAACCACAAAACTTACCCCTCCACCCCAGTAAGACCTGAAGCAATGAAAACTCCCTCCACCATCAAATGAACAACCTGTCTGTTACATACCCGTCTTGAAGAGCTCTTTGGCAGTGCTCCATTCCCTTCCAGGATCTCAATGACATATAAATGGCGCCGGTTCCGAAGCCACATTTTCCCGTTTATGTCCATTAAGTACTGCAGAACGAGGAGTTTGAACAGAAACCCCCAAATTCCAGACCGTACCTAAAGACAGAGTCACACGAGTCTTACAATCTTTGCACAACCTGGATTATGAGATCTTTCAACCCAAAGGATCCTCCTATTTTGTTCTCTGGCAGAATGACACTGAGTATCAACATCCAGAGGCAGAGGAAACTATCCTGTCTCCTGTCACTGGGCCTCGAGGCTTCTGGTGGAGCCAGGTGGGAAAATGGCCTCTGTCTTCACTAACTTGGGTCCCTCCGCTGCAACCCCAGGCACTTACCGAGGAGGTCATATCAATGTGGAAAAGTGCGGGACGTTTCTGGCACTGTGCATTCAGGAAAGGCAGGAGGGCATCCAAGACCTGGCCTTCATCCACTTGGGGCTCCATCAGTCGAATGACTTTCAGAGGCACTTTTGTCCCAATAAATTTCATCTTCAATTTTCTGTGCAGTCTCATCACATAGAGAGATTTTCCTATAGTGGCAACACATGGAAATTAAGGCTGTGGATATTTACAGAGCAAAAGGATCCAAAGGATTCATTTGCTTCTCAAGGTTGGTGGTCCCCACCCCCCAGCTGCTCCCTAGGAGATATTTGAGGGTAGCTGCCTCATAAGGAATTAAGAGTCTGTCTTGAGACAGATATAGAATCGCTTCTCGGCCCTTTGGCTAAGAGCAAGTGTAGAGACCTAAAAAGAATCTCTGTGGGTCAGTATTGACTCAACGCTAATGGATTTTATATTGGATTTTCTCTCTGTAGAAAGTTCAAAGTGACCAGTACTACACAAAACAGATGCACCATAACCTCAGATGAAGGAATACACTTTTGACCCTCAAATTTCCTAGCATTACCTACTCATTAACTTTGGTGTCTCCCTGGTAGAAGTGATAGCAAGCTAGATATAATTAACAGAAAAAATAAAAGTATGGCATTGTAGCAACTTTTATCTCAACAGAAATAGTAATGTTATTGACATAAAGTCAATATGAATGGAATGATTTCCCTTCCCAAGCTTGGTGATGTTCACAAGGTAAGCTTTACCTGGAAGCAGAGTGTGGGGTTGGGGAAACCAGACAGATGCTAAGGGGAGTCTCAGCTCTTAGCTGCTCTGCTCTGCGCTCAGCCCATCAACCCCGCAGGGGCCAAAGGAGTTTAAAACTGAAAAGTTAACTGCAGAGCAGCTTGCTTACAGGAGAAACGCTGGGTGCTCACAGGACTTGCCCAAGTAAGCAGAGGCGTCCCGTTCTATCATGAGTCTGATTGACA